AATAACCAATCCCAGCTGTACTGTAGGCCGTTCCTCTCATTCTCAGTGGGGAAACAAAGAGGCAGAGAAAGGAAAAAGGCTCCATCAAATTACAGAGTAATGAGCTGGAAAAAAGTCAGCGGAGAGTTAAGCAGGAAGAATCAATAACATTTTAATGCTAACTGGCATTATATGAGTCCTGTGGAGCTGCTAGTCAATGGCCTCTGTGTATGGGAGTTAGTGTACATGCCATTTGAAAGAAAAAAATCACTTTGTACTCGTTTCTTACAGCGTTCTCAGGGTCATACCACCTTAAAGCTGCGCGGCTAAACAACCTCGGCAGTTTCCTTCAAATGCCTTTAAAGCAATTAATAATTGAGTTGGCTTCGTCACAGTGGGTTGAAATAACCACAAAATGTCATCCTGATTTTTGTGGATTCAGGTTAAGAAGAAAATTGATGAGAGTGAAGGATCGGGAGGAAACAGAAGCAAAGACACGGATGGACAGAAATAAAACTCTAAGCCTCCTAAAAAAAAGCATATTTCGGAAACTTTACAGAGCCAATGCGTGTTTTTACAGAGTTCAACTCCAGTAAACATCAACACACATGTGCCACATTTGTGTGTTTTGTGTGTGAATGTGAAACAGCTTGAAAGTACGTCTCTTCAATCAAGTCAAGCTAATTAGCTGAGTGAACTTAAGCAGTTCATGAACAGGTAACTGCCGTGTCAAGTACAGAGTGGATATAAAAAGAAGCAAGCTATTGTTATTGTGGCTAGCAAGTCACACAATTGTAGTCCAGTACATCTAGCAAACATATTGAAGAGCTGTAGCTCACTAAATAGCAGCCATTGCTATCAAGCAGGTCCAATATGGTGATGATACTGGGCTGCTAGCATGTTTACCATTTTGCTACAGCCACAGTAGCTCACACCAACTAGCAGTCGACTGTCCCAATCGAACAAGTCCATATTGGAAGATTATGCACCTCGCAATGTTTTGTCTCAAATGCCAGCGTTCAGTGCAAATGCAGGAAGTTTAATGCTCTGTGTGTAGTGAAGAGGAATGGGTGTGGAAAATGGAGTAAGGGTCTTCAGTAGTGGAAACTGAGGTTTTGAACACCATCACAGACATTTCACTTTCTTCTTACCAATGTCTACGATTCTGCATTTTTGTTGCCTAACCTTGACAGAAAAACATTTTTGCCGAGCAAGCCTTGTAGCAGATGCTGTAGAAAGCGAAACATTTAAAACACTGGTCATAAAACATGGCCAAAGAATTTGGGTTTTGTAGAAGTATCCAATATTGACTTTCTTGCTTGACGATGGTTTTGCAACAGGATGTCTCACCACCAACCTTCCAGCACCAACAACAGCTTTCAGTTATTAATGTCACTATTTTCCGAGATCAGATCAAAGCTTGACCGGTAATGGTCACAGTCTTCAATTGTACAAATTATTTTTGTTATTTATTCTGATTAAGATGTCATTTCTGCCCATTATATGTCTCGTGTGGAGAATAGAGCTGGGAAACATTCAATGGTAGAAAAAAAATAATGTGTTGATAATTAACCATGAAGGTGATTTATCAAGACATGCACTTATTTCTGTCCCTCAAATTTTCTGCTTTTCTCTTTGCGTCATTGCAAATTGAATCTCTCAGCTTCGGACATTTGGCCTAAAAAAACAAGTAATTTAGCATCTGGGAAACTGTGAGGGGGCGTTTTTCACTATGTTCTAATACTTCATACGATGATTTAACTGAGTATTTGCCAGGTTACATTGGATGAAAGTGTGTGTTGGCTGCGGCCCTGGTGGAGCAGACACCAAATCAATGGTTCAACATCTTCAAAGCAGCAGAGAGCTGAAAAAGGAGAGAAGTAATCTGACAGTCCGTCCATTGTCGTCCACATCTATGGACCAGAACACAGAGGAAGTCCATTTCTGATTCTACGCCCATCTGCCCTGCCACCTGATCCCTCTTTACAATCATTCCCCCCAACTTTGCAGAGACATATTCTTTCCCTTTATCCAGTTTTTCTCTCTTTCTCTGCCCCTGGTTCACTCCCTCTCTGTCAGGCCTTTTTCTCATTCGCCTCCTTCCTCAAACACAAGACCTAAAAGAAATAGAAGAAGGAGAAAGGGAGAGGGAGCGAGGGGAGAATAAGACTGGAGAGCGAGAGAGAGAGAGAGAGGGTGAAGGGGGGGAAGTGATGGAGGGAGGGGGGTGCCGGGGTGGGGTTTGCGGAATTTGCTCTATGTTTGGTTTGGAAGTGAAGGCCCCGGCGCTGGGCTCTCAGGAGGATAACGGAAAAGAGAGGGAGAAGAAAGGGAGGTTTATGGATGTGTGTGCTCCCTCACAGGTGGTCGGCACATACTGTCAGTGGGGGGGTCTGCGTCTTTGCTGGACGGTGTCGGCATGTTGACAATGTTAACGATATCTGTGCTCGCAGCATGTGTGTACATCTTGTCCGTTTATTTGCAGATGTTGGCACAGATGCTCGCGAGCTTTTAGCATGTAAGACTCGGAGAGGGGGACGAGGCAGAGAGAGAGAGAGAGGAGAGGAGGTGAATAAGACATTCCTAAGAAAGAGGAAGAGGAGGAGGAGGAAGAGGAGGGGGAGATGTAGGGAGCCAGTGGTTAGTTAGTGGTTAGAAACTAAGAGGAGAAAAATGAATGTCTGGTCCAGGGCTGGGCCCAAAGACGATACCGCAACCCGCCAACGAGCCAGGGGAGAGGAGAGGAAGAGGGAGAGGAGACGAGAAGAGGAGAAGAGTCATAATAAGTTATGTTGAGGAGGAGAACCAGGGGAGGCCTCTTCCTCCTATGAAGCCTGCTCACTCCTGCCTCTCCTGCTGTGGGGGGGGGGGAGTAGAGCTTTTATAGCGGAGCTGAACCCGCTGAACCCTCCATATACAAACAGCAGGGCAAGTAGGGAGACAACCGAGGGTCGAAGCCACCAGTGTATGGGATGGCTGGAGGGACGAGGAGGAGGAGGAGGAGGAGGAGAATAAGAAGGAGGCTCATCACAGGTCTTCTATCAGTTTGGGTGGAGTTTCTACGTGCTTCCTTCCTGTGTTCACTTTCTTTCTTTGGCTATACCTCACCTCTTTTTTAAAAAATCTTCTCTCACCTCTTTCCTTCATCAATTTTCTTTTTTCTTCTTCTTTGAAAAATAATTCCGTCATTCATTGTTTTCCTCTTTATTTACTTTATTTATTTCTTGTATTCTTTCTTATATATTTTATCCATTTAGTCATACCTTCTTTCTTACGTCTAATTATTTATTATTTTTTAAATTATCTTTGCTTCTACATTTGTCTTCCTCCAAGTACATTACTTTCTCTCTCCCCCATCTTTTCTTTCTTTGACCTCCTTCACCTATTTCTTTCTTTCTTTGATATTTTACTTCTTTCTTTTTCTTTTTCTTTTCCCTCTTTCAAGCAAATTTCTTTCTATTTCTGTTATTTTTTCACTTTTTTCTTCCCTCATTCTTTAAAAAAGTATTTTTTTAAGTCTTGGTCAAATTGTCGCTGTTCGTCATCGACCTCTTTTTCTTCTTCCTTTAACTTTCTTTCGTCCTTCACTAATTTCCCCTACCCTTAACATGTTTCTTTTTCTTTAACCATTTTTCACTCTCTTCTTACCTTCACCTTATTCGCACTCTCCATCCATCCTTATTTCCCCTCCTTTCCTATAGCTTCCTTCCTTCCCTCCTCCCTTTCCACATAAACATACCACACACACACACACACACACACAGTATATGCCATACATATGAGCAGCACTCCCACCCTGCATCAGACAGTGTGGGTGGAAAGGGGCTCTAAAGCAGACACACCCAACAACAACAGGAAAGGAGTTTGCTTGGCTCTAGGCCTTTTTAGAGAAAAAACATCCATGAGCGTCTGTCCGACCTTTAGCGAACAGCATGATGCAACGAGTCTGCAACGTGCACATCGGTGCCGTCACACGAAAACCTCACATTCCCAGAAACTCTTTGCCCCGGCCACCACGACGCATCGTAGAAAAATCATAAAGGAGAGTTGTTGGTGGTTGTTTTCTCACAGCTCTCGAGGGTCAGACACTGTGGAGTTTCAGTTAAAGCGTGACAATCAGTGCAGCTGGAGTTGGGACGTGTTTCCAATGCAGAGGCGGATCGTCCTGTAGGGAGGAAGAAGCGTCATGATTGGTGTCACGGAGGTGGAGGACTTGTGGGACTTGATGACCCAAACTGTTTTCCAAAGGAAAAAAGGGAAACAGCGTTCCCTTTTGAAGTGGACCCTTGAAATTCAAACACTCATCCATCAGTTGGCCTCCTCCATAAGATCCATCCATCCAAACTACCTCCATAAGATCCATCCATCCACCCTACCTCCTCCATAAGATCCATTCATCCACCTTACCTCCATTAGATCCTCCACCCTACCTCCTCCATAAGATCCATCCATCCAAACTACCTCCATAACATCCATCTATCCGACCTACCTCCTCTATAAGATCCGACCTACCTCCTCCATAAGATCCATCCATCCACCATACCTCCTCTATAAGATCCATCCATCCACCCTACCTCCTCTATAAGATCCATCCATCCGACCTACCACCTCTATAAGATCCACCCTACCTCCTCCATAAGATCCATCCATCCACCCTACCTCCTCCATAAGATCCATTCTTCCACAAATCAGTTGTTTATTTTCTCAAATTTCTGATTGTTTAATCTGAACATTATTCATTAATCATAAATCTCCTAGAATCAGGGATATTGTCAAATGTTATCATCCAAAAAAGCAGCAAATCCTCAACTCTCAGAAGGTGGAACCAGTTATTATCAAAATATAGTTGCAGCTGAATTTTTTAAATTCTTATCCAGGTAATCAGTTCTGTGGTATTATATTAATATAATTCTGGTATATGTGAGTGACTGAGACAACCAACTGATTCCAGAGCAGCACAGACAGTCGCAGAGGAACATGAGGGTTTGTTAGATTTATTTCAGATGTCTGAGTGTTCATACCTTAGAACAGCCTGTTGACAGTCGCACCTCTGCTCCCTGTTATTCTGCCTGGAGATGCTCTCGAGTCTGAGGACACAAATCAGAGTCTGTCCGGTGTCTCCTGAACCATCTTCGGTGAAGTTATCAGTTGTCAGTGGCTGGTTTCAAATTGAAACGAGTCGGTGTTTCCAAAGCAGATCCTCCCTCAGGAGTTCGCCCAGAAAGCCTGTTGAAAGAGGTGTGAAAACCTTGTCCCGGGAAGTTTTCTCTGGAAATGAGACTGACGTCGTGAAAAAGGAAAAACTGCAGAGAAACACTGAGTCAGAGGAGAAGGCGAAGGAGCTCAAACACGCCGCGTGAAGGGAGAAGAGGACGGGACTCATGGAGGCGCATCGCTCGGTTGCGACGCTGGTCAACTGGAGCTCCAGCTGCGGAGAGGAGGGGAGAGACTGAGGGAGGAGGGAGAGAGCGAGAGAGAGGGGAGGGGAGAGAGACTGAGGGAGGAGGGGGAGACTGAGGGAGAAGGGAGAGAGAGAGGAGGGGAGAGACTGAGGGAGGAG